TAACATTTTTTTCAACCCAAAAAACAAAAACTTTTTATTCTCTCTGATTACCCACGGGCGTCAGTATCGCCCGAAGGCCATTGTTTCATCATAAATACAAGGATCATAAAAATTAAAGGTTAGGAAATGTCGAGTTGTGCCCATTGAAATCCGCCCGGTCCGCCCAAAATGAGCTTCATTGCTTCCCGATGACCGATTTCGTGAAGCCCAGTTTGTAACAATAACACACACACACACACACACACACACACACACACACACACACACACACACACACACACACACACACACACACACACACACATAAACACACACACACACACACACCACTCACACACGCGCGTGCGTTTTGGGCATGTACATGTACTTGAACATTATGTTATTCTCTTCCTTTAAAAAAAGCAGTCCTGTGTCAGCTTGTGTTATTTCTGTTTGGTAGAAAATTCTCATACTTAATTACTTGTATTTGCGTCATTTCTGTATAGTAGAAAATCTCGATCTCTGCTTGCTTTATTCTTTTCTGTTTAAGAAGAAAATATTCATCTTTGTCTCTTCCATTTCTGTTTGGTAGAACATTTTCATGTTCGCTTGTGTCCTTTCTGTCTGGCAGGATTTAATCTGATTCTGTCTTTGATGGTACAACTCGTTCTATAAACGTTTCCTTTTCAATTGAGCCTGACCCCCAAACACTGGACTCATTGAGTTTTTATTAAACTAGACAGATATATAGAGACAATATATTAAATTTTTTTTAAAAAAATCTTTAGGGATCATAACATGTGTTTCTCCACTGCAGGCTACACCACTTACTATGCTGAACGAACATTATTATTGGGCTCCTTTTTAAAAAAAAGAAAAAAAACACAGTTTTTAAACTTAAAGCAAAAGTAAAATTACCGGTATGGTCGAGCCTGGCCAAGATGACCACTCATTGTCGAGGTCTAAAGTAGTCATCTCAGACAGTTCTGCCGTACGCTGAAAAAACACCTTTTTCTACAGCAGTTTCGGGACTTTAAAAAAAAGGCTCTTTGTCAGCGTACATGTAATCATTTTAAAAGGGTATTCTTCCGAAGTTTGATTTTTAATTTTTTTTTAAAAAACTAGTCATAGTTTCACTTTGATTTTTTTCACACAGGTTGAGTAACTGATCAGGCTATCGATTTAGATTTAACTTATTTTTAAAAATGACGCTAAAGATGAAAAAAGGCATTTTGTCAGCTCAGGGTAGAGGTGGTCCTGCAGGCCATTTTGGCAGGCCTACATTGTTAAGAAAAAACAAAACGAAAAATAGGAGGTTGGGGGAGGGGGGTGGAGAGGGGAGTGGTTGTGTGTTCAAGGGATTGTCTAGGGCAGATGGTCGTTAGAGCAGGTTCGACTGTATACACATATATACATTCACAGATTTGATACACGCACATAAATGCACGCGACACTTTGACACGCAAATTTTTCCCGTAAATATTACTTTTAATCCAGCCATATATTATATATATATATATATATATATATATATATACTTTTATTTTGTCCTTTCACGTGTTGACTACTGCAATTCTTTGTTGGGACTCCAGAACCAAGCTGCTAGCATAATGTTAAAGAAATCTCTCAAAGAGCATGTAACACCAATGCAAATTCAACTACATTGGCTCCCGGTGAAAGCACGAATTCAGTACAAAATAATTGTTCTTTGTTTTAAGTGCGTCAACAACATCGCTTTGCCCGCTCATCTATGGGAGTCTACCACTTTCACAAAATTCAAATCAGTATTTAAAACCCATTTGTTTCAATCCAGCTTCAGTCTTTAATTTCCGACATTCCCAATACAAATTATATTATTATGTCCTCTCATTATCTATTATGTTCTCCCACTATCGTTTATTCACGCTGTTCTGTTCTGTAACAATTTATGACTGTGTGATGTCATCAATGTGTACGAGGGTTTCTGGGTAAGTTTTGTGGGATTGTCTTTACTCAAGGATGTATTAGAGAGAGAGAGAGAGAGAGAGAGAGAGAGAGAGAGAGAGAGAGAGGGGGGGGGAGGGAGGGAGGGAGAGAGAGAGAGAGAGAGAGAGAGAGAGAGAGAGAGAGAGAGAGAGAGAGAGAGAGAGAGAGAGAGAGAGAGAGAGAGAGAGAGAGAGAGAGAGAGAGAGAGGGAGAGGACATTTAGCGATTCTTTGTGGAATGCCTATGTTCTTTGTTTGTATTATTATAGTACAGCACATTTAGCGATTCTTTGTGGAAATGCGCTACATGTATATAAATGCAATTTATTATTATTATCATTATTATTATTATTATCATTATTATTATTATTATTATTATTATACTATGTGCAAATCTATATGGTGTTGTCAGCAAAATGAGAGTTTGGCCCTATACTCATATAATTTGTCAGCCCAGTGTTCTTCTTCTCAATGCCTGCAAGCCAAGTCCCCAGACACAAAGAAAAGAACAAACTTGTGCTGCAAAAATCAAGGTTTATTAGCAGATATATATAACCTTCAATGTTAAAGACCTTCTGCATCACAGACAAAGATTACATTTATAGCAAAAGAAAAAATCAAAATCAAAATTTCATTGAATGGACGGAGTAGGAATTTATGAGTAATACCCTTTTATGTATCAAAAAAAAAGGAAAACTTAAAGTTGACCCCAACGAAGAAATGGCATCATCGTAGAGAAAGTATTTAAGAGGTGCCAAGTTACGTTGCAAGTGGGCACACTGTGTAGATGGATGCACGCCACTGTGCTGTACAAAGGCTGTTGGGACAATGAGGAAAACGTATCTCAGAGAGGCAGACGATCATTCAGATCAGGAAAGTATCAATCTGTTTTGAAATATTGTAATAACCACTTTTCAAACACAAAAGTAATAATAGTCAATAGTAATAGTATCAGTTATATAGGGCATATCCAAGCTCTACAGCAAGGTCTATGCACCGATTCAGCCAACTGAATGCAGTTCCAGAACTACAGATACAGTACAAAGGCATTTAAGAGATGAAGAAGTTAATTAGGATAGGTTACCAAACAAAATGACTCTCAAAACAGAAGTTACTAGAAGATTATGTCTCAGAGCATCAGCCAGCCACCCGCAATAAGAAGATAGTTACATCTCAATTGCATGGCAGAACATACATTATGTCTAAAAATATGAACGGTACCTTTGGTAAGAAACTATCAACCTTTTGTTATCAGTAAATTGAGCTGAGAGGGGGGGAAAAAATCAAGCTTGTCAACAAAATAGCTTTCAGTACTCAGTTCACATCCATTCAAATCATGGAATTCTTTGGTAAAGACATTCTCTGACATCCTAGCCCTAATTCTGGAGTTCATCAAAACAAGATTGCGTTGAAAGCGGAACACAACCAAAAAGCCATGAACCTAAAACAGTCAATGTGGCAAGAGAGTTAGCCTTATCCTACTCCAAACAGTTATAAGAAGTTGTGTTGTTCGCATGGTCAAAACATTTTTATAAAAATTATAAAACGGGGAAACCTAAAAAAAAGCAGTAGAAATCAACACACATAAATTTGAGAGTATGCAAACATAACGGGTCATTACATCTCTTTTCTCTGAATGTGAATTTCTAAGAATATTACTTGAAGGGGAAGGTCATTTTTGTTACAATCTATATATATATATATGTATATGGGTGTATGTGTTTTTATGTGTATTTGTGAGCATATGTGTGCACGCACACAATCCTTTCCACTAAAAGAGAAACTATACACAATAATAACTACCCATAATTAAGGATAACATATTATAGGAGTGTTCATTAACTCATTTTTTGTGCATCCACATAGAGTGCTGCTCAGTTTTTTCTCAGAGACATTTTAAGGACTTCAAAAAGATGACCTGTTTCAGCCACCCTTTTCAATCATTTTTTCTTTTGTGAGAGCATAGGCTCAAAAATCCTTCTCCATTCTTCCTAACACTCACAGTAATCATTTAAACAAGACAACAAAGGTGAATTTGGACGTGTGGGTCTACTGTTTCCCATTTATTTACTGCTTTTTCCTTGCAAATAAATTTGGCAATAAATTAAAGAGATAGGCTACAACTGTACACATCCATTTCATCATTTTTGAGAGTCGCAAAAGTACAGCTCATCAACTTTTCTTCTGTAGACAAAAGATGCTGTCTTCCAATAATTAATGTTGATCGAAAGGCGGCATCAGAACAATATATACACAACACAGTCCTATGGTAGAACAGCTTGACCATGAGATGAGTGACCGATCCACTCAGACTCAAATAGAGATCTGGTCACGTGAAATTGAGAACTCTTTATTGAGACAAAAGGACAAATTACTGGACGGAACATCAATCAGAGCCTTCGATGAACAAGGCTTGATAATAATGGAAACTTGTGTCACCGTGAACTTGTGACCATGTAATATCTTAATCAACCTCTTACACCGTGTGAGGGTGAACTTTGAGCTTGGGAGGATAGGATAAGCATAATTACCAGGATAGGATCGGAATGTACTTTTGAATAAAGTTCTCCCCTTCTCTCTCTCTCTCTCTCTCTCTCTCTCTCTCTCTCTCTCTCTCTCTCTCTCCCTCACACTCTCTTTTTACCTCCCTCTCCCTCACACTCTCTCTCCCTCACACTCTCTTTTTACCTCCCTCTCCCTCACACTCTCTTTTCACCTCTGTCTTTCCTCATCTCTCCATCTCTTTCTTTCAATCCATCTGTCACCTTCTGCCTGCCTGCCTGCCTGCCTGCCTGCCTGTATGTCTGTATGTATGTATATCAGTCTGTCTGTCTGTCTGTCTGTCAGTCTGTCTCGCTGTCAAAAGAGTCCTGAATATAAGACTCAGCTTGTCTCATGGGATGACAATGTTAACGTTAATGATAAACTTTAGAAATCTCACATGAAATTCTTCCCCATCACGCAATAAAGAATATTTATATCATACAGACCCAAACTCACACTCTCTCTCTCTCTCTCCCTCCCCCCCCCTCTCTCTCTCTCTCTCTCTCCGTCTCCCTCTCTCTCTCTCTCTCTCTCTCTCTCTCTCTCTCTCCCTCTCTCTCTCTCCCCCTCTCTCTCTCCCCCTCCAACCCCCCTCTTCTTTCCCTCTTCCTTCCCTGGATCCCCTCACTCATTCATTGTCTCTGAAACTAAAAAGATGGTAATAAAAAAGTTTTTTAAAAATTAAATCATCAAATTAATTCATAGACCATATTACATCCCATTGGCACAAGCTAGATCATTAAAAAAGCACAGGAGCATTGAAAAGATGAGAGTTCTATTCCCGTGTGGAGTTCATGTTTTAGTAATATTTTCCTCTCTCCTTTGGAGCCTAGACCTAGTACCCAAAACATCCCTGGCTGGCCTCGACATAGGAAATGATCCAGTCCACCTGCAAAAGGATTTAACTGACTGGGTTGTGAGACAGTGCTAATTGTTCATTTGAAGATGAAGTGCTCCATCTGACAAATGACCAATACTGTGTATGGAATAGCTTTCCTTCAATTTTTATAGAAAAAGAAAAAAAATTAAAGTCTAAAAAATTTTCAGAATAAGCAACTAGATATTGAGATACATACCAGAACTTTTTTATGAAAAAGCTTGATTTCATCTCAAAGCATCTTAAACCAAACACTTCCAAACATGCTTAGCATATTTTAAAAAAGCAACATTATTCATTTATTGCTTGACTTCATTTTTTCCATTTCATGCTAGAATAACCCTTACACCTTATTAATTGTACAGGCGGCATGAACAATTCAATATAATACAATATATAACATACTTCACAACTTCACACACAAGAATTACAACAATTTTTCAAATAAAAATACACCCTATGACAAAACAAACCTTAGAGACCATCTTTGCTCATCTTCAAAGAAATCTCACACTATACTAGTAATGCAAATCTATACAACACTCTTCATGAAAAGTACACCAAAGAACTTCTTCAAAGTTGTTTGTTCTCTCTCCTCAAGCCATGCCCGTGTGGATGATTTTAAAGAGCGAGGAAGTGTTGTTGTTCTTGATAGCATTGCGGCATGATGTCACCACTTGGCTCTTGTATTTGCCGACTGAGGGAAAGAAATAAAGATTTGTAGCCATATATATGAAGTATTGATCCCTGTCTGTGTGTGTGTGTGTGTGTGTGTGTGTATGTGTGTGTGTGTGTGTGTGTGTGTGTGTGTGTGTGTGTGTGTGTGAGTGTGTGTGTGTGTGTGTGTGTGTGTGTGTGTGTGTGTGTGAGAATATATATAGTTAACACTGTCTAAGACCGCCACCCACCGTTGAAGAGTACAGGGGCCGTCTTAAATGACAAAGGTGGCCGGAAGACACAGTGCAGTTACAAGGTTAAAATCCATGCAAGGAAAGAAATTGGAAGTGGTCATTTGTACAGGTGATTGTCTTACTGTTATACATATGGTCATTAGAGCAGGATTGACAGCATCATAATATGTAAATATACATAATATATACTTGTCTATTATATAGACATAATACACACCAAAGATCCACCCCCAAGAATCGATGTTAAAATCCAGATGCTATCTCAATTATTTTGTATCCGTGTTTGGCCTAATATTTATAATAATACTTCTCACACTGGGACTGCCAGCAGAGGTGGGCTATGAACAGTGTCAGTGGGTGAAAGACCTGTTCCTACACTCTTTTTGTGCATTTCACCGATGAGTGAGGAGGGAAGTTAACTGGTGCGTTTAGGTGCCCTTTTCTTTATCATTACTCAATCATTACTCTACTCTTGGGAATTTCTATTAATATACAGTGTTTTATGTGCTGTAAATTGTAAAACCTTTTAAAAAAACAACAACTCAAAACAGCAACATCATGTGACGGTCCCCAGTCCAATATTAACACAGAGAGGAACTGTTTTATAGAGAAAGTACCTGTATAGAAATACTAATTTTAGTAATGGGTATTGACTATTGGGGACGAAATGTAGACCCAAATATCATGAAGTAAGCAAAAATCAGCCTATGGGAGGGGGGGGGGGGGGAGAAATGTATGGCACTTTGTAGAAAGAAGAGAGTAGAGAAGATGGACTGACCTCTGACCCGTCCAGCCTTCTGTATGATCTGGTTGACCTGTTTGAGGCACGCCACCAGCTCCTGGTGGTTGTTGCAGCGGATGTTGTAGCCCGCGATGAGGTCACGGTTGAGGTCATACAGCTCCATGTAGCCCTTACGCATACTGCGCCTGCACAACAGGTAGCGAAAAAACAACCAATGCATTTCAATAGGAACAAATAGGACAACAGAAGAATGGAAGAGAAAAAAAGGAAGAAAAAGACCATACTAAAGCGCAGATCAACTACCTGTTCCATTAAAAGAGCGGAATCTTATTCCATGTGGCCCAAAAAGTCTCTCTGACGTGAAGGAGGATAATGAGAGATGTTGTTGTATGTCCATTGGAGGACTTAATGTCTTCCCTGGGGAAACAGCAACTCAAATCAGACGGAGCAGACATTCTGTAACAAATGCCCACTTATCTCAAACCGGAGGACGAAACAAAAAATGGGCAGCCCCCGTAAGTGGTAAAGAGTTCAACTTTTTTTAAAAGATGCAAGTTCGATTCCTGGCTCCATGAGACAGGATGATGTATCCTTTGGAAAAACATTTTACCTTGTTTTTCTCAGGTCACCTTACCACAATGGGGAACTTGGCAATAAGCAGGGACAGATTATTTGACAATTTATCTTCCATGAAAGATAAAGATAACTGAGTAGCAGGCTGCAATGTTGTTGTAAGTCCACTGGAGGACAAAAAATGTAAAGGCTGGCCAAGGGAGATTTTGTGAAGTTGTGCGAGTCTTTGGGGGGGGGGGGGGGGTGTTGTTGTGAAAGCAGCGGTTGTTGAGGGGGGGGGGGGGGGATATTAGACTATAAACAGGCACACTAATCCTAATTTGTAACATGAAATTGGGTGCCACAAGCTTAGACACAATGTTAACTAACTAACACTATCCATTCTTTTGTCTATCAATAACCTATTAACAAAACCTCTTAACTCAGATATTACACTATATTTGCTTAGTCACATTGCCCAGGTTTTCATTTTCTGAAAAGAGAATCATAAAACGTGTTTTACTAGTGACGGACTGTAAATGGTTGAAAATGTTTTACCCTCCCCCCCCTCCCCCCTTCCCCTCCCCCTCAAATCAACATTATTGGGCAGACTGACAAAGATAATTGATAAAACGCCTTTCCCACTTTGACCACAAACTCTCATCTTTCATGTGCAACTTGGGAGAAAGCCCAGCCAGTACACAACAGATGCTAATCGTCTTTCTGATTGCTGTCAAAACTAATCAACACAAAAGATACTCTTTTGTGAACTCAGTACACCAGTGTCTGGGGTCCACCTTCTAAATGATCGGATCTAAACTATGCCGATGAGAGCGTTAAAAAAAAGGACTCAGTACAACTTCATACTCAGCTACTACATGTCACATACAAAATGTAATTGAAACTACAAACTGGGAAATAACCAACCCCTCCCCCCCCCCCCCCCAAAAAAAGTTTTTTTAAAATGTACCATTATCAATCTCGGAGAGTATTATTCCTTTTCTCCTCTACAGCTGAAAAAAACAACAGGAGGTCAAAAGTGACAAATGACTCACATGTCTCCCATGATCCTGGCATCCTCTGCTCTGACCACCATACTGCGGATCAGGTTGGAGTGGTCAGCCATCTCAGCAGTCAGTTTGCTCCGCACCTTATGGAACTCATCCACCTGCATGAGTGAACGAAGAAAAGGAAAGAGGAAAAAAAATTGTCAGCTGAGAGCCAGGATTGAAGATGTCCATTTCAAACAAAATGTGCCGTGAACAGTAAAAGTGACGCAAAATTTAAATGACATTCCTTCATTTCCATAAATATCAACTATTCGCTATGTAGCTTTGCCACAATTAGAGTTCCCCATCTGTCTATGCCAAAGCATTTCCAGGGTAGAGCTACACGTAGCCATAAAAGTCTGTTCTTTTCAGTACGAGGAATTTGGACAAAGTGATCACTAGCTCTCACCAAACAAAATACCAAAGGTGGTAAAGATGATGGGTTTTAAAAAAAACATGCTTTTTACCCTGTGGGATGTCAGTTGCAATGTCTAGTATCCAAAGCTCTATCTAACATAATGAAAACTTGTTATCAATGGACGCATCAGAACTCAATGGGTATAATAAGATTCTTATATCCCAGAAAAAGAGGTTTGGGACACGTAAGTATGACAGGAAAACTCAAAGGGAAGAAAAGCTAAGGATGCTAGTGCATACATTTCATAAACAGCCTGAACACCTGGTCCACTTTCAACACAATGAACAACTCAATCATGAGGGCCTTGAATGAAAGAGTAGGAATAAAAACATAAACACAAAAATCTTCCCTAGACAAGACACTTGATGATGATGATGATGCTATCCCCTGTATACTCAGCCAGGGTTGGTCCCGAGAGGCCAAGTCGAATCAGTCTGCCTCCTTTCTGATCTAAATTGTGTCAATGGAGGTGAAAAGGATTTGTAAGCACTTTTACCTTGACCAAGATTTGCCTGAGAGTCTCTGTCTCCACAGGGAAGTCTGCTGTGGTCTGAAGGTCTTCAATGTTGAGGAACTGAGCCAAAGACTGGATCACATCCCCGGCTAAGTCCATGTCATCCGTCTGAATCACAACCTGAAAGCAAAAGTAAAGGATATCACACTGTGACTTGATACCTACAAAAGAGATGTGACAGCTTTTGTAATGAGAAAGAGAAAAAGAGAGACAGAGAGCAAGAGAGAAAGAGAGGGGGAGAGAAAGACATACACAGGGAAAGACATAGAAACAGACAGACAGACAGACAGACAGACAGAAGTGTGTATGTCACATATGTGTGTGTGAGTGTGTGTGAGTGTGTGTGTGTGTGTGTGTGTGTGTGTGTGTGTGTGTGTGTGTGTGTGTGAGTGTGTGTGTGTGTGAGTGTGTGCATGTGTGTGTGTGTGAGTGTGTTTGTGTTTGTGAGTGTGTGCATGTGTGTGTATGTATGTGTATGTATGTGTGTGTGTGTGTGTGTGTGTGTGTGTGTGTCTTTGTGTGTCTTTGTGTGTGGGTGTGTGATAGTGTTTCTATGTACAAAGAATATTCACCACAAGTCAACACAACCAGGATGAATATTTTTTCTGAAATCACTAAAATCTATCATTGTCATTGTATTTTACAGTTTGAATAAGAAAAAGATATCTTAATTAAACACATCTTTTGAGATTCAGGGTTGCCAAGCACACCACGTCCAAATGAAGGTCAGAACAGACACAAGACTGCTGACTCACAAGAACATCATTTTTTACAATTTAACCAAAACATCACCCAATAATACATCAGTCTCTGTTTTATTAACAGAATGGTTTTAAAAATCCAAAACAATTGAACAAGGAGATAAGAATACTCGACAAAAAGACCATGACCAGTGAGAAATTGAGGAACAGGATTTTGGGGGGACTTTAGAAGGACAGTTGGCAGCTCTGATTCAACCTCTTAATTACGCACCACTCAAAAAGCAGCGAATGTTGAGGGAACTTTGTGGCGTAACTAGACTAAAGTGACACACTACATTGATTGACATTATATCAAGCAGTACTCAAAAACAGCAGATAACTTGGCATGTATAGCATTTGTGAAAATCATGCGAAGCCCAGCTTTATTTCACATGTTTATCTCTCCATTAGGTTTTTTTAAAGAAGTTTTTATAGAAACAGATGTAGCTGAATAAAAGATGTAGCTGAATAAAAGATTCAACTGTCAATTCCTCTGATTTTATCAAATTCATTCTTGGAATTGAACGCCACACTTTATGGTTAGTATAGTTACAATAACGAAAAGAGTTGGCTTCAGCAAGGCTGGGGGTCCTCTCTGTAAGAAGACGGACATACCTGACCTGCCTGTGACATCTTCAGGACCAGAGGGCCGGACCCTCGGAGAGACATAAAGGTGAAGAGGAGGTCGCCCTCCACAGTCAAGTCATCCAGGAGCAGGAAGTTCTGGTTAATCCACATCAGCATCTGTGACATGAGAGAGAGAGAGTGTGTAAGAGAGAGAGAGAGAGAGAGAGAGAGAGAGAGAGAGAGAGAGAGAGAGAGAGAGAGAGAGAGAGAGAGAGACAGATAATGAGTTCTTCTTCTTCTTCCTCATTCTCGATGACAGCAGCTAGACAGTCAGTCTGATGTCGCGCACAAACTGTGCAGTCTGCTTCAAATCTAAAGATAATGAGTGAAACAGATAACACTTTGCAGTCACACAGCTAGCAGTACAAAATACCCCATCTGGTCACCCAGCCAGGAGAGTGACTGCAACAGACTTCTTGGGCTTGGTTTAAAACTATGCCAGGTGACCGGAACGGATAATTTTCTGTCGCATTATTGCGCCCAGTGACCACAAAGTGTTAATAGAAGGTCATACAAGTATTCATTTCTAATAGTGATAATTGTCAGCTCATAATGTTGCTGCTCAGTGGCGACAAGGCTTGTACAGTGTCCACATGCGTTTTAACCATTCCTGTACAGCTACAGAAAATTTATCAGCGGGACAATAAAGTATTATCTTATCTTATCTTACCTTATCTTATCTTATAATATGATAGTGATCAAAATATGATGATAGTAAGACAAAGTTGTAAGATAACATAGCAAAAGGGGGAAAAAAACTCGGCTTCTTATGATTCCATTATAAGTTATATAACCTCATAATTCCTCACAAATCAGCTAACTAATCCTGTCACTTCTCGGGAGACCAAACTGTGGATATTTTAGGAAAAGAGAAGGGTGGGGGAAATAATGTCAAATTCTCCGCAACAGAAAATAAGCTAAGCTACTTTAATTTTACCATAAATAGAATAACAAAAGGAAAGGGTCTTGAAATATCTTCCAGAATTACATGCTTCACAGATCTGGCTGGAAAACTACTTGATACAAGGAAAATTCTCAGAGTGAGAGATAACAAGGGATTATAGAAGAAACAACACTTTTGATCCGCTCTATGAAGATGATAGTTCCGTTTAAATATTGTAGGCCAGCTGTTCACACACGCAAAGTCCAGTCGCATGTACTCTAGAAATATTTCATCAAAATTCAAATTCTACATGTTGAAAAAATCAAACAAAGATTAAAATTTAATTTGAGTACAATTTTTAAAAGAATGAAATATTTTCTCTCCTGAAAAATTGTGCTTTCTGGGCAAACAACTGAACAGCTTGCTGAAAATATGGAATAGATTTGATGTCCCAACTCAGTAAGTTGGTTATTTACAAGACTGAACTTCCAAATCTAACATTCCTCTCTCAAAGGGCTGAGTGAAAAGGGTGGAGAGCTTTGAAAACAAGGATAGTGGATAGGACTGGGGTTATCTTTTAGTGGTGCCAAGTCAAATCAGCAAACGTAGAACATCTGGATACAGGATCAGTATATATGGTTGCGAGGGTGGTAAAGTGACATAACTGTAAGTTGTCAGAATTACACAGTCAAGAGGTAAAACATTAAAAATGTGAAAGAACACTCAATGGGGGCCTTCCTTAAGTAAGCACAAACAACAATGTGGGTGGTTGGCAGGTGCTCTGGTGTGGTTTGCTCCTTCTTTCCTATCAAACAACTATTGTCTTTATCTCTCCTTCTTCTTTTTATGTTTGTTGCTCTCTTGTAACACTTCTAATCTTCGGCACTTATATGACCTAATTGTGTTGCAAGTGCCATAAAACGCTTACTAAAAGAAAAAGCACAAACAATACTCACCCTTTGTGGTCTCTCATTGAGGGTAAAGGTCACAGAGCTGCGAGGTTCGGGGACTTCTTCCGTCATGAGGCTGTACATGGAGAACCGGGGCAGGGTCCTGGTCAGCTCAAACACGTGGAACTGGTTGCTGCGAGTCAGACAACATGCGCGGGTGGTTGGCAGGTGCTCTTGTGTGGTTTGCTTCTTCTTACTTATCAAGCATCTATCATCCTTATTTCCTCTCCTTCTTTTTTGTGCTTGTTACTCTCTTGTAGTACCTCTAATCTTCAGCACTAATAGGAGACTTTATTGTGTTGCAAGTGTAGTAAAACTCTTACTGAAACTAAAGCAAACAGGCAATTGCACAGGTTTAACAACCCTTTCAAAATTGTCAGGTTCTTTTTTTAATAGGCAGGACCTAAAAAAAATTACATTAATCTCTGACAGGATCAAGCCAAGAGGGTGAGGATTTGAACCATCATCACCAACACCACAGTGGCCAAAGAGGTTCGCCCACTCATTTCTGTCCCCTCATCCTCGAAGCATCACTCACTATGATTTCAACAGAGTGGCCAAAACCCGGGGAGACGCATTACTTTTCCCGTTGTCACTTTTATGTCCTCAAACAGAGCTGTTCAACATCGAGTTCAGCGCTGACCAAAACCCCCGCTTTTGAAACGACCTATTTGTGTCTAATACGTCATTACAGTCAAACAAAAGAAGTCAAACAACAAATGCTGCAACTGAAAGTCACATAAGCTCCACCTTGCATAGGAAAAAGTGATCCCTTGATAAACTTGATGAAACCACACGCAAACCTCAGCTCATTGAAAACAATTCTTGGAAATAACAGGCAATAATTTTCATTTACAAGGGAAAACAAATCTCTTGACTAAGGGTCTTGCCCACAACAACAGGTAAAACAGAGGGTAACTTCATCATGATGGGAGCCAAAGGCTCTTTTTATGAATACAGCATGGTTAAGATTCAGCATGACAGTAACCAAAGATCTACTCCATTTGTACAGCATTGCTAAGATTCACCATAAGAGTAACCATAAGCCTATTGAAGGACAGCATTGCTAACATTCATCCTGACCATTGGCATAAGTCTTCTCTATATGTACATGAATGATGAGGTTCATTATAGCAGCAGCTAATAGGTTAGGATATACATACAACATTGCAAACATCCATTATATGAAAAGCTATATTCATCATAACAATCACCATAAGCTTAGTGTATACATACACATACACTGACTGTTCGTGAATTTATATTGCATTGTATATTTTTAGTGAACACATTTTCAACCTCACTGCGAGACTGTTTTTCTGGTATAAAATTTTACACATATGCATTATATTATATGTACAATACTTTGTTTTACGTACACATTTGTGTCGATTAATTTTTAAGATGTGATGTCTTTTTCATTGTAATGCGCATTGAGCATCTTTTAGGAAATGGAAATGCGCAGTATAAATGCTATTTATTATTATGATTATATAACATTGCAGATACCCATCATATAAATAGCTCTATTTATCATAGCAGTAGCCACATGCCCCCTGTATTTGTACAAAATTGCTAAAAGTTCCAACAAAACGTTGGGATCAGTAAAAACACACAATTATATACATGATAAAACTAACCTGTTCTTCTGCCCAATCATAGCCTTAATATGTAGATCAACTGGAACATCTTTGGGAGGGACAATCGGTACCTTCAGACAGCTGCTGATGGTCTGCCCGTTAGGATGTCTGTTCCGTATTAGTGAGAAGAAAGAGTCAGGATGGGATCATATAAGAACGATACATGTACAAGGTGGAGTCAAAAAGTAATGCAAGTTGTTCCCCATTTTGCATAATTTAGCACCAAATTTTATGACCATTCACATACTATTCTGTTTCTACTGATTGCGAAGTTTAAAAAAAATTAAAATCCACTGATCACAGTCACCTCTTTTACCTTGTGAGAGAGGAAAAAATGGCAGCCATTGAAAAAGATTTGACTAGGAACTCCTAGAAGAAAACATTACTTCAGTCAAACATGGCATGGAAATCAGTCAAAAGGGTGGAGACATTTTCTTTGCATTATATAAAGAGTACAAATTGAGCAGCATTGCTGGAAAAGAAAGCGAAAAAATAATTGTCGTAGGGGACTTGTGTGTAAGATAATAACTTCCGCAACATCTTCCTCCCATTCCCACTTACTCTTAAGCTATGATTCTACTCACACAACATGGCTTTCTCCTTCAAAAATTCCTTCAGCAAAGATCAACACAGCTCTGATGATTGTGTCTGGCGAAAAATACAAAAAAAGAGTATAAGCCACGATGCATCAGTTTAACAACTTACATAGAACTTCAGTATTTCCAAGATTTCTTGTTCTCATTCCTGGATTCAGAAACTTACTACTTTCTGTATAAAATTAAGATGTTCGATGTGATTGTATTGTAGCTCTCTGCTAGTCGGCACAGTACCTAACACTAGCCAAATTTCATTTCGCACATACAGACAAAACACTGAAAAGACGTAGGAGGAGTAGACCAGACAACAACACCCACCAACCACATACAACAGTGTTGAAAATAACAAATCACTAACAGAATGGCAACAAAATAGTAAAACATTTTGAAATAAAAATCTCCAAACAAATACCACTTAAACTGAATACTTTTAATTCAAAAACAGTGGTAAACCAATAGAAAATTAAATCCACACTGTTTTTTTATTCTGAAGTCAAGCAGATGCATAACAAGGAAAGTGTTAGACTGGATCCCACAGTGTAAAAGACCCAGGGGAAGACCACCTGGAACCTGGAGAATAGTCACAGAAATAGATGTACAGAAAAGTGGGAAGATATGGAATGACATCAAGTGGCTAGCCCAGGATAGGAAAAGGTGGAAAGTGTTTGTTCGTGGCCTATATCTTGATCCAGGGTAAGAAAGGCAATGATGATGATGATGATGAGCAACCTCTATACTAAAAACTTGACTAAACCTAAGAAAATCCAGCAGTTTTGAAGATTTCAGTTTAAGTGGACTCTACTATATATGTCTTATCTTTCATCAATACAGTGCCCAAACCACCTCTTTGAACAGCTCCTCCACTCCTTGAAAGTCTTACAGTTTTAACGGGATGCTAAACTCATACCGGAAGTATGACTACTTAACTTACGGTGAGACTCCAGCATATGCCATTTTGAAAAGTGACTCATGACGAAGCCTAACATAGAGTAGTTGATTATCGTCATCTTTTGAAAGACAAACGAATAAGAATAATAACAAAACCTCCAAGACAAACACATGAGACTCTGGTATTTACAGTGAGGACAAAGATAACAGCGACTCACCATTTGTGGTGCTGATGATGAGCTCAACATGAGGCTGGGGAAAGACAAGCGACACTCTAGGTTCTCTTAATATATAACTCATATCAACCAGAATGACACACATTAAGTCATTACCACCAACCCCAAGCACAAGTTTTGTTTGTTTTTTAACTCAGATTTTATTCTATAAAACACATCTGAAAGCCCCAGCAGTTGGATCGTTAGTGATCTTTTGTCAGTATGTCAGTGTTTTAGCACCTGTAAAATGGCTGCTTGCACTGTATGCTTCTCGTGAATTTGAGATTGTTTCAGACTGCTATCAAGTATTCTGGGGTAATAACATAGATAATAAAGCACATAGAGCTTACTGTTGAGCCCGAATTTGTACTGTACAAATGTTATATTTATTTTATCATTTATTATTATTATTATCTCAGGCTCACAATAATTTCAGTTATACGCTGGAGGCACAGAATTTAGGTGGATAGTCACAAAGGGCATCCTTGAATTAGACATGAAGTCCCTAACTAAAAAAACAGTAGCAGTCAGCAAATAGATATTTGTAAGATTGTTTGTGTTATGTGTTACGGCGTTTTATCAAATTATGTAACACTGGCAAATGGATGTAAGTGTGTGTGTGTGTGTGTGTGTGTGTGTGTGTGTGTGTGTGTGTGTGTGTGTGTGTGTGTGTGTGAGAGCGTGTGTGTGTATGTGTGTGTATGTGTGTGCGTATGTGTTTGTGTGCATGTGTGTGCATGTGTGTGCATGTGAATATGTAAAGAATAGCCTCAAAGTGCTATTTTATCTAACAAAAATGAAAGACAAGCTGAAAGCCAGCAAGAACTCCCACAGACATACAGATACAACATAGCTACTGACTTACTGGTCTCGTCTCATCCCCTGTGTTTACGGTCAAAGTTGTCTGAAGCTGAGTGTTCGCCTGAAAGAAAACAAATCAAAGAAATAAAACAAAAAAACGTAACTCACTCGCACCTGAGCCTTAGTCTAGCTGTCTTCTCTTCCTTTTCTTTTCTTTTTAAGTTAAAGAGAAACTCGCACAGCTGCTGTTATAAAAAAAACATGTTTACCTTTGTTTAACCCCACCTTAGAAGATTAGATAGAAAAAAAATATTCTGAAATACACTCGGGTGAGGATAATTCAAACACGTCAGTGATTGACAAATGCGTTTGATACACATACATAATAATTCTGGTTTACTGATAAAAACAAAGTATGAAAGAGTAACTAGTTTAGGAATGACAAATTGTACGAGCTATCCAAGATTTCAAGTTTTCCATGTTCGTGTTATCTGTGCACGACTGTGCTTATTTTATTCATGACTCAAATGACATGATTTACAGACACTTATATAGACGTACATATGAATACGTAATACGAACACACACACATACCTCTTGGCAGATCTGTTTTGTTACGAGTAAATAAACTGTTTTTCGCCAGACACAGAAATAAAGATTTTTCCAGTTCATTATTTTGAAACTTGAACCTGCAAACTTATTCACTTTGACATGTAACTTTAAAAAATACATTTGTAAGTATAACACTATTATACACAGTAATTAGACAATCCAAAAATGTTGTATTGCAATCACAGATTAGACAAGACAAGACAAGACAAGGCAAAAACAAAGACAAGAAAAGACAAGATAGGGCAAAACAAGAAAAACGTTCAAAAATACAAAACAAAGCCAGGCTATTTCGACTACTTCGTGTAAGACTTCACCATATGCCGTTCTGAAAATTGACGTATGACAGGATCTCACACTGAGCAGCTGTTCCAAATGGAAATAAATCAAAATCGCAAGCAGCAGTCATCTTGTGCATGACTCACCGGGATCATGCCGACAGGGGACGCCTTGTACTCCCCTAAACTACCGCCCAGCTTGAGATTCTGCATCCCTCCTCCCGCACTCTGGGACATCCCACCGGGCCCCATGGAGTGGCCTGCAAGAGCCGAGGAGCCACCCATGTTCGGCCCGTCGATGCCACCGCCACTTGCGTCAAAGCCACTGGTAGCTCCAGGCTGATGAGAGAGAATACAGTAAGTGGAGACAGACCATTGTGGAATGTAATTGAAACTGTACCAAGACAGCCGCCCTTTGTCGAGGAGAGAAGAGGTTTCTTTTGGACAGGTGGACGTCTTGGACAGTGTCTTTATGAACCAAACAAAAATGCAAGCCGGGAAGTAAGAAGTGGGTGTTTGTACAGACGATTGTCTTGAACACGTGGTCATTAGAGCAGGTTGGACTGCAGATGTCGGTACCTCAGCATGAGGGGTGTGCAAATATAACTGTCTTATTCTAAAAGAGTCATTATAAACTGTGCATACAAAAGTACAAACGAATAATAAATAATAATAAAAGGTGTATTTTCATACGTGCATAAGATTATGCAAACAGGCATACTATTATGAAAGTTTCAGCTTTGTTTTGATATGTGTTTTACAACGCCCGCAACTGCACAAGGTTACATGTGGATCAACAAAATAGATTTTTTTGAGAAAGTGATAGTAATGCAAATGCCTGACCACAACAAAATACAATGATGTAAAATAAGACTGAAAGCTTTGAAACATTCACATTTCTTCTAAAAAATTTTCCAGGTGTCAAATTTTTAAGCCGACATCATGTTTCACTTTCTTTCAGAAGACATTTTCAAAGGAAATAATGTAAGTGCTTGACATGACGATGAAGCAGCGTAAAAAAACCCACAGTCGGTTTCTAGATGTTCTATTATTAGATTCAAGTCAGAATATAACATCACACTGACACATACATTATAATTAGAAGTTTAATTTCTGTTCTTTAGATATGAACAAAGTATAGCTGAACTAATTCCACATTTCATTTGCTGTCAGTTCTTCTTCTTCCTCTCCATTGCATCACACTTGAAGTTCAGTATCTACCAGATAATGGGATGTCCTGCCAAATTCTTCTGTTGGCGCATACAGTTTCTCCTGTAGTGGTAATGGGATTGGCCTCGTTCCCTATCTCAGGGCCCTGTGTGTCTTGCTCTGCAGTAGGATGTGTTCCACAGTTTGTTCTGTTTATCCACATTGGTATTTTGAGGATAGTCCAGCCGTCAATTAACACTTTCCACCCACACACTTGCGGTACATCAGTACTACACCTGTATCTCGGCAATAATACCCCAACCATTATTAAAATTTCAGCATGCTGAGAAAATTAAGAGTGATGATCGCATGTTCACCAAAAAAGGAATTAAAATCGGAGCTCAGAAAACATTAGATCTAGCTCATTCATCAACCGAATTCTAATCATGGCGTAAGAGTCAAACAGTACTTATTATAGGTGTACTCGGCATTTTTCACACAAAAAATGACTGTATACAATATGATTTTCGACCTCAAAGGTCACACAAACCATTCAGAAAAGAAATTTAACTTTAACAAGTGCGCATGTCAAAAAAAGAGATCATTTAGTTAAAACGTTTTTGTTGCTACATCAGACTGTCCCTGATTGGTGTCTCGCGGAGAAAAGGGACGGCTTCTTACCATGGCCGATCAGGTCCGGAGGGGGGGGGGGGGGGGGGGGGGGCAAAGTGTTAAATCACGATGCTTCTGTGCTATGAGATTGGTTAACAAATCATTGAGTAAGTACATCTCTCCTATCCGACCTGTACAAACCACTACAAGACACACACCTGCAGACCACCCATGCCAGGAAACGGCACATTCCCTGGACCTCCTCCACCTGGGCCCAGCCTTCCTCCTCCTCCGCCACCACCAGGTTGACCTCCGTATGACGCTGCCAGACCCGCAGCACCACCTGTCATGGCCACCTTGGAGTTTTCCGCATAGTTTTTCAGTTCCAGCATCAGGTTCTGGGGAATAATAAACAAAACAGCATTCACTTTAATGTGAGGCACTGAAGTTGTCTTTGCTCCCTTTTCTCAAGTCTTTATTTTTCATTGTACATATTTGCTATTTTTCTGCAAGTTTTCCTGTCTTGTAACTTTTCCTGTTTCACAATATAGTTTGCTGTTTTTCCTCCATTGTAAAAAAAATGTTCATGTATATTTTCCTATTTCAGTGAACATTTGGCAATTTTTATGTAAGTTTTCCTAAAACCATATATATGAGGCATGCTGACAAAATGAGCTACTTCTCGCAATCCACAAATTGAAACATTGGCCAAAAATCGACAGTAGTGTCAAATTTGTAGAATTTCTATTGATGTTGTATTCTTAAATTTTTAACTAAAACCTGTCTTTTATTATTTTATACTTATAAATAGTAAAAGTTTCACCTATAAGCGTGAAGTATCTATTTCCTTAAGGCTTGAATCCGAGAAGTAACTCATTTTGTCAGCATGCTTCACATATAGCTTGTCTATTATCCTGTAAATGTTGCTATTTTTTATTGTCATTTTAGTTCTACCATTTTCCCAGATATTCCACAGTTTTGAAGGAAGTTATATTCTTTTCCTGAAAGTTGCCTTATTTTCCTGGAAAAGTAGCAATTTTCCTGGGAGTGCTGCTATGATTCTCTTCATGACTGATTTAACTCATTAAATAATGCTGTTGATGTCAAATTAGGTGATGTGAAAAGAAACTGTTTTTTTATTTATCTAACACCACATTGACTTTTGGAGATTGTATCTTATCTAATGCAATGCAGTACCAAAGTCACTGAACTTAAACATAAGAGTGGACAAGTACTTAAGAGAAATCAGGGGGTGTAAAGTCCAAAAAAGTGTTGATAGGCTAGCAATTTTGACAAAGACGGTATATTTTCTCTTAATGTTATGGACAGTGGGAGGAACGAAAACAAGACATAAAAATGTACAAAAGTATGCCTAAGATCAGGTTAAGCATTAAAAATATAGTATTCCTTTCCTTCTGAAGATTTCTCACAGATTAGATTCATAATCAAATTTTTATTATATTTCCTAATTAATTTAATTAAAAGGTCTTTGGTTTGACTTGGAGATTACTTCAGATCAATGAGACAAATTCAAAAGATGCCAAATATGACATTCTAAAACTGGAAAGAAGTAAAAGAAAGGAATGCCCTAAGCACCCTCAAAACACCCGCAGCTTACATACTCCTTCAGCTAATGTCTGGGTCAGTAAGCGACAAGTCAGAATCAGCATCCAAATGACTTAAAATTTCCTGACTTCAGCTGGACTGTTTTGAACCTACCTGCTTTCTCTGACTCAGCTCTCGGATCGTGTCCTGCTCAACATTGGAGTCCATGAGGCTGCTGCCTGGCCCGCCGCTGGCTGGATTATAGCCCCTGACTGCACAAGATAAAACAAGAATTTTAAAAACCCTATATTCACTCCTCAGAAACTATTTTCAGCTTTACAGTGGAAAGATCTTAATGCACATTTGTACTTACATTGCCACATAAACACTATCTGACTTAGATGTAGCCATCTTTTCCAACACACAAGAAATTTGCGTAATATCATTAAGATTGTGATAAATCATTTCTTTTTATGTTTCTGAAGTAAAAGAGATGTCAAAGAAATAACATTCTCTATTCATGTTATTTCCTTTAGGTTTTCACACCCATTCTGGGGGAACTGACAGCTTAGTATCCTGCTGGACTACAATGTTGTTGACCTAGAATTGAATCCCCAAGTGATGTTTAGAGTCACTCAAAGATTAATTCAAGTTTATAGAAACAAAGATGTAACAAAATAATACAGATGAGATCAGATTTATGAAGAGTTTAGACAAAATAAGATGTGATGAGAAGAGATGAAGTTAAACAAGATTAACTTCCAAACAAGACAACAAGAAAAAACTTTGAAAAAAACATTGAAAATGACAGTGACAGTCTTCTTTCTAAGGACACCAGAATATCTGCAAAAAAGCAACTGCACCAGGCGGCAAAGGTCTGAAACCAGGAATGCACATAGAAAAATTACAAGATTTGGAGCAAACTTATAGAAATCAGCCTAGACTGCGACAATTAACAAAACTCTACCTTCTCCCTCTATAGACACACACAACAGCTGTTCTCCAGGGGAGGTGTTTGAGTCCAGGCGATAGTCAGCCTGAAAAGAACCAAAAAATGTCACAATTGTAAAGTGGGCTGTCTTGCTATTGTGTCATATAACATACAATCCTCCTTTTTTTCATTTCTAGTGGCATCTGTTGTAGACCCATAAGAATATTGAACCAAACCTGTGTTATCACCAGACTCACTTTTAACAGACATCTCAAGCAAATGTAGAGTTAAGAAGAAACAACCTCACAAATGTGGAAAAAGTCAAAGGGAGGAAGAGACAATTCATTTAGCCCCCTCCCACCTCCACCCACACACATTCCCCCTCCACACACACACATACACTCCTCTACCCCCATCCCCCCCCCACCCCACCCCACTCCAAACACATCCCACCCTCACATCCCACCCCCATGCCCCCACCCCCTCTCATTCTTACCTGTACGATTCCAGCAACTGAATGATTAAAGTTGTCCTTGAAGATCACCTCACCTGTCCTGTCGCTCCGAGCATCAATCTGAAAAGAAGAAGGGAAAAGCACTCTGGCTGAAAATTCCATATACTCACTGGTAGGAGAAATAACAGTATGTCCATTGTGTTCCTAAAGCAACTTAAAGAAAATACTGACAAGCAAACTCAGTGAACCCCCCAACAAAACTATCAGACCTCAGCTTATCCAAAGCTCCAGCCTGCTGAAAGTTTGAAACAATTTTTTCATACCCCTCCCAAACTGTACACCAACACAGAACAGGAAAGGTCATTCTATGCAGAAATGCTGTGACCTACAAAAGCAGAATATGAACATGTAGACCCATGCCTCAGGCATGTACACATTTTGTGGCATGGACATTTGCAACTTAAACAACTAGAGAGCACGAGAAGCTGTTGTTGTGAAACTCGTCACCTTCATTCAATAATTGCCAAAGCCACTTTTGGGGCAATCTGAGCTATGGCCACATCTAGATAATTTGATTAGTTCCCCTGATTTCAGTCAAAAGTTGTTTTAAACTTTTGAATTTTAATAAAACCAAAAAACTGTTTTTTAAAAACTAGGTGTGTCGTGTCTGTTTTGTTAGTGCAAAAATTTTTGTTATTTTTCTCAAATCGCCAAAATATGACTAAGGCCAATGAGAGTGACAAACTGTAGAAAGAAATACATGACCACTTGAATGTTCCTGGGATAAATAAAAGACTATCTGTACCTTTCCATTGCTCCAGCCAGTGATCAACTCAGGCACGCCATCGCTGTCTAAATCATAGCCATGAATGGACACAGCTTGGTTTTTCGACTGAAAATGTAAAGACAACACATAAATCAATTTCTTTTCCATGGTCCTGATATCATATGTTGAATGAATGATTGTAAATGTTTTACACAGCCCTTCAATAGGATCTAGACCATGTAGGAGGCACACAGCTTCAAGCCCATCTGTAAGGTTCAAACCAGACCAAGTGGGATACCTCATCCCTTCAGACAAATAAAGATAATGAAATAACTTTCCCTGGTAGGAATTGAACTCATATCTTTTACACACAACGGCACATAGCATAACCATAGCACGTAAGACACAAGTGGTACCATATGTTTAATATCCTGATAAATACATACGTGCAGCACAGAATGAAAATCTCACTTTGATTACATTATTTGCACATGATACATACAATGCATGAAAGGCAAATGTAGGAAAGTTTTTTTCTTTCGGCAAATCAAGGATTAATACTGGTGAGCCCTATGAATGAACACATACAGTAGAATTCTCTTAACTCCTCTGTAAGTGAAGCTGCATCTTCATCAAGGGATGGCAGATCTTGAAGCTTAACTTTAACTTTCCCCGACTATGAGTGCTACTCAGTAGAGTGCTTGATTACAAACAGAGCACACCTAGGCTGATAAACTAATAATACACAAAATGGTTAACTCGGGGATTTTCCCCTCACCTTACAACATGAACTGATAAACTATTACACACAGCAGGTTAACATACCTTGATTCTCCAATATCTTGAAGTTTTGTCGTAGACCCCAACAGTTCCATTCCCCAACGAATAACCAAACCTTGTGCCCAGCATGGGACAGACATTGGTGATTACCTGGGGAAATAACAGCATTCAACGTCGGCACAATCAACCATAGTAGCAGCAACAGTAGCAGTCGCAGAAAAGCACTAACAAGATCATCAATTCTCCCCCAAACATTGCCTATAAACTGTTATCTACATCCTCTTTCATTTGCAATTGCAAACATTGCTCTGGGGTTTTTTTCTGTCTCTTTGACTTATTCAAAAAAAGTTCTCAATAGTGTTTAGATAAATATTTGTTGCATATATCTTTTTAAAGTACTTGATGGGGTGCAGCTATTTTTTGCAAAACCAGACCTTTACGCAAGTGACCATAATGAAAGAGAGTTGGACAGAAGATATTGTAAGCACAAAGAAAGGCAGTCATTTTTCTCATGAGAGGTATTGGCACATTGATGACATCAGTGAGGTAGTGGCACTCTCAGTTGGTGAGGCAGCAGATCATTTACATCTTTCGTTTGGCTCAAGCTACGAGTTCTTAGTAAAGATCACAAAAACAAGAAAGATCTCAGGCGTACCTCTGTCTCCGTCATTTCCGCAATAATTTCGTCCTCTCTAAAGACACGGATGTCAAAATCTTCCGAGCCAACAATCAGCTGAAATATAAACATTAATCTTAAGCAAGACCAAAGCAAGTAATCTCAATGATAATGATAATGACTTATCCGTGAATGATGGTAACTGCAAACAGACTGCAATATTGTATGTTCCTCAAGGGTGTGAAGAAGCCTGCCAAAGGCGTTAATGTGAAGCAGCCAGTGCTTTCAGAGGGACAACCAACTACAAATAAGTACTTGTTGTGATATTTTTTTTGTACATCGACATTTATGCAGAATGAGTAGTACTATACATGAAGCAAGTATTTGCATGTGCTCAACATTCTTTGATCCCTTTCAGAGTCGTATAAGAAAAATGCAATTACAATTTCATTTCTTGAGTTTAGTTAAAATTTCACACAGACAAAGGCAAAAGTTTTGATTAAATCCACAAAATAAAAAATAGCCATCTAGGAAAAAAAACCATTGCTTGCAAATCCCATGAAAAAAAGCAAAACAGAATATTTGACATATTATCAGTTTCAAATATCATTATTCATACAGTCTCCCCATACGTATAGGCACTCATCTAAAGTTACAATATATGGGTCAATCATAGCATCTAAAACATCATATTACAATTTGTGTGCCATTCTCTTTCCTCTCTTTTGACAAAAATAGGGTTTATTTTCTTTTCCTACAAAATTAAGAAAAAAACCAAAACAATCTCTTTTGATAATTGTAGTGAAATGGACATTAACATAGTTCTTCTTCAACAATATTGATAAAAAGCACAATATACCTCATTTTGGCCTTTGTTGCTGAAGTCAAGCAAGCAAATGCTCTGCACATTGTCACCAGTCACCTGAAAAGTAGCAATACCATAACTCTTTATCTCGTAGGGAGGGGGTAAACGCACTATGCTGGGCCCTCTTTTAGTAAAAAAATCTAAAAATGACATATATGTCACTAAACTGGTAATTAAATCAATAAAAGTGAACCTATTTTGATAGGCCGTCATCTAATGAATGATATCTCAGAAAAAGAGATCTGCTGTCTGCAACAGAAAAAAAGGAATTTGCCGTCAAAGTCGTGGTAAAGGAATGTGCCCGAGCCGCAGCCTGCTGCTCACCGGCACGGCGGTTCCGGAGATAAGTAGTAGGTGCCTGAGTTAGCGTATAACTTTGCTATTTAGAGCATCATGTCCAAGCTGCATGCAGGGATCTAATAGTTGTCGAACACAAGACAGTTTCTCATTATGAAATCAGTCTGCTCCAACTTGAAAAACTTTACTTTAAGCAAAACTTCTTCACACAATTTCCAAATTAACCTCCTGCAATTACCTATCACTACTGACTACCACTTCAACAGCTCTTATTCTATTGATATCAACAGAAAAATGAATTTCAAACTCACAGGTGTACTACAAAAAGAACATTTTGCTGAAAGAAACGATCCCAGCCAGAACAGAATTAGTACCAAAAATAGCAACAACAAATCAAATTTCATCAAGTCTGATATAAGTTGCCAGATGTATGTATATTGTATCCTATAACAGTCGGAATGGTGCTGTGAAATCATTGAAAGTTGAAAAGAAAATATTTTACAAGAGATTTACCTACATCCAAGAAGACCTAAAGGTTTCGATGAATTATCAGTGTGAGCTTACAGAATCAACATGACTTTTATTGCTTGAAGCTGGAAAATTGTTACCCGTTTTTCTTTTAAACTGGACTGAAACTACCTGAGGGTAATTCCTATTCTTGTAGCCAGGAAATAAAAGAACAGCTTCATTCAAAAAGCACTTTTTCTATATCATTCCATTTTCTGTAAGATAAGCTATCCCAGGCTGTCTCTCTGAGTCCAACACCTTGTAAAGTGATTCCCTCTGTCCAACAAAACCCCAGTCAGACACAGAGCCAAATTTGTCATTCTTAAGACGTAAACCTAGAGTAAGAGAATCTTAGAAAAGTTGAACGATTCACTTACAGTCCAGAAACTGTCCTCTCCTTCACTGTTGTACCCTTGTATAGAACAATTGCCACCGACAACAGCAAGAGGGGTCTCAATGCTTCCCAACATTCCAATGGTAATAGCATTAGCTCCATCAGGGCTCTGCAGGTAAGCAAAGAAATATAAGTAGTAACAGCTGAAAGTCTATTATGTTAAATTCAACTTCAATGCAGTTAACATTGTGGGGAAATGGTCTAAAATTTTATCCTAACGTTATATATGAATAAGAAATGTGACTCTCATATACATACATTTCTTAGGTATCAAAATATCCACAAATGAACACAATCTAATATAATAATCCGTACAGTCATTTTCTGCTTCTCCTTCTAACTATTTCTTTATTGACTGACTGAATGAAATAAACTCATCTTGCAAACAAGGTAACCAGCAGCAACAACTGACAAAGGTATGTTAACAAAAAACGCAATTTATTAGCCATGATTTTATCGACTTAGCATAAACGTTCTTGAAAAATTGTAGGGGTGCAAAAATAACAAAAATATGAGAACATGAAAAAAACAATTCTCACGTCTTTGTAAAACAAGTCCCTGTTATTGTTGATGTCGTATGCCAAAACATTGGTGGGGGTCCCCACTACCAGTAGGTCTCCCTCACAATTCAAATCCAACTGGCCTGACGCCAACGATGTGATCTGCTGATTGATGTTCAGCAGACTGATGTCGGAGCCTGTTCCCGAGCCAGAGTCTATCTGTTTTGTGTGTGGACTGTGAACCAGGACCTGTTGAAGAAAAGAACAGAGTATCAGATTTTGTGCCTTTCGTTCTCTTTGTTGCTATTTCTGCTCCTCTACCTGAAGTAGCTGCTTACTTACTGACTTATTTGGTTGGGGAATAGGCATCATTGCAGGCGGCACAATGTTATAGCTGCTCCTCCCTCCTCTCCAGGATCCAAGTACGGGTCTGCCTGCTGATTGTGCCAGTTAACAATAGGTAGGATATTCTTCTGGCTTTTCCATGCAGGTTGCTGTCCCTCCCCGACCCTCTAGAGACACTAGCTTCCCTTAGTCTATCCATTGTGTGTGAAGTAGTGCCCTCATCCTCTCTGTGGTCATTGAACCATGCTGTCAATGCTGCCATGACTGTTGGTGGATCTAAATGCATGGTGCCGTCAATCTCAGCCTGGCTGGCAAGCTTATCACCCCTGCATGACCAGGGCTAAAGATCCATACAATCCTTGTGAGTCTGCTGCTTTGTATAGCCTGCCACCAGTCTGCATACATCTTGTGTTTCTTCACTTTTTTAATTGTAATCATCGAGTCGGTGACGAGGACAGCAGACTGGTACTCCGTCATCTTAATCCAGTTAAGGTCTTCAGTGATGGCTTTCATCTCCATGAACACGCTGGACATGGTTATACTAGTGACGACTGACAGCTCTCTCTGTATGACCCCATTTACACGGGCGCAGAAAGCCCATCCAGATTTGACTCCACGCTGTGCTGATCCATCAGTGAAGATGACTACGTCGCCCTGTTCACTGTTCTCCTCTATCAGCATCTCTATCTCGGCATTGGCTGCTCCTTCTGGCAACTCACGACATTCTCTGCCTAAGTTTGCTACCACTCAAATATACAGCCCAAGTGTGTCAGTGACACTGACCCATGTGCTGCCCCCTCGTATGTCTTGCAATTCACAGCATTTAGCCAAAGTCATCACTGCCTCATTCATTCATTCAGTCCCTCTAAGCAGACGCGTGCGTACAGTTCTTCCCACTTTTTCATGCAGTGGGTGCAGATGATCAGCGCTGACTCTCAAATACGCTTTCACCTGAGCAATCTTGTGACGTTCTACCATGGCTGAAGTAGCTGGTTCCAAGTTAGTGCTTTACTTAAATAACTTGAATGTAGACCTGGGGTCCTAGGAAGATGGAGAGCTCCAAGATTCCTCGCCCCTCTTCATAAAGGTCCATTTCAGTGTGAGCAGGCTGATTGTTTCCACCATCAGCTGGTTGTTGTAGCGTCTGATGGGGTCACGCAGGCTGCTCCTCCTGCCTTCACCAATCTGTACTCCTTTCTCAATCACAATCTCCTTCATGAATGATTCCTCTTCCTGGCTGCTGGTAAGGTGATCTCAGACAAGAGCTAAAGCTTTCGTGTTAGTATTATGAAAAAGTAAGGAAAGGTAGGAGAGTTTGTCACTCATAGTAATACACAAAGACATCTTAAAGAGGAACATGATTTCCACATACATCACCTTCAAAACCTGATAACAGAGGGCAGAAGATCAAAGAAAAGGGAGTGGGGTTTCGTTTTTGGTTGTTGTTGGGTTGTTGTTTTTTTGGGGGGGGGTTGGGGGGGGGATAGCTCATTTGTCAATGTCCGACGATGACCAATAGGGGGAAATTTCTCCAACGAAACCGAAGAATTTGAAGAATTAAGGTTAACATTGACTTGTGGCTTCTGCCATAGCCGATGAGACCAATTCTGACAGAAAAAAGTTGGCAACATTTTGAAAATTTGAAGAGAGAAAGGGTAGTTGGTAGTGCTGTGCAATTTTGAGGAAACAAAAATTAATCGAAGCTACGAAGCGTGAGCTCACTATTCATGCTATTCGAATACATCCGTCAAATGTTTTTTTCTTGTATATGATAGGCCTAGACGTAACTTCCGCTATTCAACATTCACTAACTATTCACAGCTCCGTCAAATGATTTTTTCTTATATACGACAAGCTCAGCTCTAACTTTCGCTATTCGATGCGCCACCGAATTGTTTTTTCTTATATAAGATAAGCCCAGATCTAACTTCCGCTATTCAAAGCGCTGTCGAATTGCTTTTTTTATATACAATAAGCCCAGACCTAACTTTCCCTATTCACATCGCTGTCGAATGTTTTTTTTCTTATATGCACTATGCCCTGATCTAACTTCCGTTATTCAAAGTGCCATCGAATTGTTATACGATAACTCTTTATCTCCAGCAAGCTACTCCCAGCGGCACGCGAACGGAACTGTTGTACCGATGAGCCGAGCGGCTCGGGCACATTCCTTTACAACAACTTTTTTCCGCAATTGCCAAAAACAGGTTTCTCTTACCGGAAGTTCATTCATTAGATGAAGTACTATCATAACAGGTTCGCTAGTTTCGATTTAATGACCCATTTAGTGACGTTTTCGTCCTTTTTAAATTTAGTACCAAAAAAGTGGCTTTACCATCAGAGATAGAGAGATATGCCCAGACCCAACTTCCGCTATTCAAAGAGCTGTCAAATGATTTTTTCTTCTATATGATAAGACCATCACTTTCACAGCGCCAGTCACTGAGCATGCGTGTGTTGTTGTTGCAGACAGTGCAGCGAAATGACATGACGTCACCGTTCATAGCGCTTCGAATTTCGAATAACCTAGGGGAAGGGGAGCTTATTGTGACAAGTAACTGCCCTTGCTTGAGCTATGGTGTGATGAGCGATTATAAGGGATATTCTCTAGAGGTCTCTAGAGGAATATTTTATATCTCTCGTTGGCTCCTCCAATCACTCTGTCTCGTAACCATCAAAGAAAGAACATTTCTGTATATTTATCTCAATAACTTTAGATATAATGTGCTCCAATTTTACCACGTTTGAGAAAAATGAGATGAAAATCCAGTATCTGTTTAAAAATTTTTTAATCCCACGGCATTCGAATTGCTCTGCCATGCTTCAAATAACTGTGAATAGTGCAAAAATCATGAATGTCCAATAGCAAAGTCGAATGGGTACAGTCCTAGTAGTTGGAGGCTAAGCGAAGCCTCAAGACAAAGGTACTGGAAGGAAAAGACATAGCAACAAAGGCACACATGCCAGCCAAAATAAGAACGAAAACAAGACCAAAAATAGCAGACCATCTTTCCTTTTCATGCATAAATGCATTGGAACCAGGATTTTCTGGCACATATAGGCCTAATTAGTCTCATACTCCATTGTCATGGGACTTGAGAAATGTGCATCAATACAGCAAAAACACATCCTCTGTTGTGAAAGAGCTCAGTGCATCTTAATAGATGTCAATCCTCTCTTTCTCGAGTTTGTCTTGGAGTGGGTCAAATGGTAATTGCGCATCTCCCATAAAATGCCTAAGAAAGCTCACTAGCAACAACATAAAGAGCAATGAGAAAACTTACCTTTCCTGCTGTAGTAGCACATGTGAGTGCTGGATGCCTGCCATCATATCGCCCCACTGCAACAGCCCTGGGAGTCACACGATGGTTGAGTTTTAAAGTGAAGATAGGAACAAGCATTGCTGTAGACTGTCAACTCTTAAGTTCCTCCAGTAAGAGCAGCTAAGACTTTTCAGTGTCTGGCTGTGAATGGGAAAAATATTAATACAGTCAAACCTGCCATAACAGAATCCTGCCCAAGACAGAAAACTGTATGCCCCTTGATAAATTCTTCTACATAACTCTACAATACATTTGAGTTGGAAACCTTCACAGCTCAGAAAACAGACAGAGAAACCCCTTCCCTGTTGACTGTTTTGACCTTTTTAAGACCAAAAAAGTTTTCTCCCTTCAGCCCTGATTTAACAAATATCACGATTTAAGTTTGATTCGACCAGCTCTGGCCTTTATACCATATGCCACCATGCAAGAAAATGGGGAAGGGGTGTGATTTGGGAGATGGCTGTTATCCCACAAATGTGAGCCCTGAACTGTGAAGGTAGTCAGGGTAGTGTGGGTCTTCAAAGTGCTGAAGTGACCCACCAGCATGGAACCCTGGTAGCCAGAGCTATGAAATGTAACCACTGCTTGCTGCCCTGATTGTAGAGCCAGCCAAGAAAAAAGTTCCTTGATTCCTTGCTACATGCAGGGAAGGGATGGCTTGTTGATTGTGGTTACTACTTTGACGGGTGGGGTACAGGGGGGAAACAAAGGAGAAGTTCAATCATTTCCGTTTTTAATTGGCTAACCAGTGGCCATTATGAGATGCAAACACTGGTGGCGATGACACATCCCATTACTAGAGCGGTTAGGATAGTACAGTCAAACCTGCCCTGACGGCCACCTCTATAAGATGGCCACCTGTACAAACGGCCACTTTCCATTTCCCCCCTGCGTTTTTTCTGTATAATTTAACTGTGTAAAACAGGCACCTGTCCAACGCGGCCACGGCCACCATATTTTAACACACAACCCCTATCACAGTAAGCAATAACACCTGTCTTAGATGGCCACCTTAGTGACTCCATTACGTTTTGTCATAAATTGTGCACTGGCCCCTGGCGTTGTGGGCGAGCCGTCATAATTCAATCACTAGTCGTTGTTGTTAGGTAGTCCCTCCAACTGATCATGTTGCGTAGGCCCCTCCCACTGTTGACCAATAGCTACCAATTTTCAGCTGCTGGTGAGGTAAGCATGTGATCCCTCATAACCCATAAGCCCCGCCCACAACTCATACACAAATCGTACGTGAGACGAGCAGTCACTGTTTACCCAGTCTGTAACAAAGTAACAATGGACGTCAACATGAAATTGCCACAGAAGCGTCGCTCGTTCTCCGAGTCGTGGCGACCCATGCATTTTTTTTAACATGGCACTCGGTCTTCCTCGTCTGATATATTTTGTTTTATTGTCACCCTTGCCCAAAATCAGCAACAAAATAAAAATAACAAACAAAATACAAACCAACAACAAAAAAACCAAAACAACAATACGGCTACTTTCGATTGGGACTTCAGATGGGAATGATTTGTTTTCTTTATCTTGATCAGTCCTGCCTAAGACGGCCACCTGTCTTATACGGCCACTTTTCTCCTTGACAATGGGGGGCCCATCTTAAACAGGTTTTACTTTATTTAGTAGAGGTGTGAAGTTAAATCCACTACTTGACAACCAGACAGCTTGCCTGCTTCCATGACACCATGTGGGAACAAAACTGGAAGATGTGTTTATTAGCATGCTAGTCATCTGATACTGAAAATAATTGCATGATTTCACTGAACTCTTCAGTGCAGAATAAACATGCTTTTACCGAATTCATAACTTCTAAACAATGTACCACACTCTTTCTTGACCAGTTCACGACAAATCTTTCACATTTACTACTGCAAAATGGGGCCCAGATCCCACATTTGTCTCTGGTGGCCCACAAATTGGGACTCAACAATTACATATATGTGAGGCAGCGTGGTGGAATCAGGCTCTCATCAATTTTTGGGCATGTAGAGTTATTGGTATCATCTTAAAGCTTGTTCACTTGTGTTTATTTGGAAGAAAAAAGTATCCATTTATCTTGAATACAAGTCGAGATATTTGCGAAAGAAGGAGGTGGGGGTCACCTGTTTTCAGAGGTACAATTAGTGAGAAAATGGCCGCCAAAGAATAGTTATGTCCTTAGCTTATGAGTCCATGGTAACTGAAAATTAACATTTTTTATACCTTTAATCAACGTTTTTCGGAAAAATCCACACAGAAATGAGTTCTTTAATGGGCATGAAAGGTGTTGAGTCAAAAAACAAAAATCTGATAAAAATTCACAAACCTGCAGAAAAATGCAAGTTTCTTCACTTTCATTATTTTGACGAGAGCCTGATTCCTACACACTGCCTCACATATGTTTACTATCTTTATTTTTATGAAGTGACTATTTCTCCGAACGTTCGGAGAAATAGTGCCGATCATTATTTCTCCGAACGGTTTCTGGCCTCGTGATTTTTTGCCTATTTGCAAGAGTTCAGCGCCAACTGTCATTCTGCCATTCTGCGAGGTCTGGGAAGGAGCTTAAATTTTTGGGTCTAGATCTATTTCAATTTTCAAGAGCTAGTCTAGAGATTTTTAGATGAGTGTAAAAACGTGAAAAAGAAAGGTTTCACAACAGAATGAAATCAAAATTAGAACAGCCCATAAACAACCACAAATTTAACAAATAAGGGTGTGTGTCCACCTGTCCGAAGAAGATTGGCTGTTTTAACCCTAAATGTGCGTAATTTTTTTTTCAAGTACAGCCTAGGATATTACATGTAAATTATGGAATCACACACAAGGAGTCTGCCAGTGTCAGTACATGTAATCGGTTTTGGTGGAACGCTTTTACATAACACATTTAAATCTATATATATATACATGTATATATATTTAGAATCTAATGAAGGTAGGAACATCAAATTGAATGACGTTACACTATACAACATCCCCCCCCCCCTTTTTCCCCCGCAAAAAAAAATTAATAGAAAAACAACACATCAGAACAATAACAAGAAAAAAAAATTACACATCAACAAAATAAAACACCACAAAGAGGGAAAAATAAAAGAGGAACAGCAATACAAATCGTATGTAACTGTAACATACTCAACAAATCAACGAGGTGACGACAAGGGAGATAGAGATGAAGTGAAGATAAGTGAACTTTCTTTCAAAAGTAAAGAGGTTTGGTTTCTCTTTTTTTTAATTTGACTTTTATTCCCCAATTCGGGGACCAAAAAAATGTCAAAAAATCGAGCCACCTTTGATTGGTTGCGGCCACGACAAACGCAGATGCTAGTTCTACGTGTCGTTATCAATAACCCTCCATAGATTTAGATCTAGATAGCACACGAGTGAACACAACACATTAAGTTTAAAAAAAAAAAAAGAGCAGCACAATTCATAGGCAACACGTCATCTGTAGCGAAAAACTGTTTGGAACAGTAGCATTTCTATATAAATATTTACAGCGGATATTTTTTGGACCGATTGAACCATATTGTATACGAACAATCTTTGGTAGGCCTATAATATAATTATAGATCTATATATATATATATATATATATATCCGAAATTTGCGGGAAAGGATGTGATTTCAGTGTTCGGAGAAATAGTGCCCAGCTTTATTTTCCCGAACGTTCGGAGAAATAGTGCCAAGCTTTATTTTCCCGAACGTTTGGAGAAATAGTGCCCAGCCTTATTTTCCCGAACGTGCGGAGAAATAGTGCCCGCCTTATTTTTAACATATTGTGTATTGATAAATCAAAATATTGGTTGTCTTTGCTTTATTAGCCTATATATTCAGTTTAGACCGTGTTTTGATCTAGATCTAGCTAGATCTAGATCTAAATTAAATAGTACCCCGCTCACCCTCGGAATTCTTTCAGTTGTCCAACCCGTTTTATGAAAAAGATTTGGTGTCCCCAGCTGTAAAGGCAGTAACTTTTAGAGGCACATGATAAAAACAGCAAGAAAATTGAAGACTTCTGATTGCGCTGGTTTCAATACACTTTATTACAGAGAGTAACTTTAGGTAACTAGATCTAGTATTCTAGTAGAACTCTCGTAGCGTTCAAGACTACGAAAATTGAGAATGAAGGAAGATAGATGTGTCTAGAATCTAGATCTATAAATCTAGATCTAGATCTAGATTCTAGATATCTATCTATATTTTCTAGATCTAGAATCTAGAATCTAGATTAGAAGTAGAGATCTTGATTTTGATGTGATAAGCAAGAATTGTTTGATCCATCAAAATCAAATTAGTTTTGACTTCTTCTGTTAAATAAGCACTATAACCTATACATCTCTCATTTCATTATGACATCGGTGTAAATTTTGATTACACAATGTTATTTTTCAAACTTACCATCAAAAATGGAACGTATGATAAGAATTCATAATATTATTTTTGACTGGCCGTCGTCAATGAAGCTCTGCCTACAAAACTATTTCCTGGGAGTTACGCACCTTTGCATCATAGCGGGAGATAACCGTGCCGAAGGCCCCTTCTATGTGTGTGTGTGTCACTGTGTGTGTGTGTGTGTTCGTGTCGCACACATGAGTAACTCTCCTCGATATGGTGTGTTCAAAAGAGTGTATTGAGTGAGTAAATGAATGGTGTGTACTGTGTACATAGCCGCTGTTTCCGTCCCTATCTTCGCTGCTGTGTCTGCCGGTCGTTGTTGAGGAGATTAGCTAGAGGTAAAGAGTGAAGTGAAGTGACAAGGAAAGAGGAGAGTGATTGAACATGATATCCTAGAATATAGAGTCTAGATAGAATCTAGGGTGATCTTATACTTTTGCACGTTAAATTCCCAAGCCAAAGTCTACTAATCCCCGACACAGACCTTCAAAACTTTGAACTGGGCCTAAAAATGTGTAAACTACCGTAATTTTGTCATGAACAGATCATAATAATAACAGTGGTTTTCAGTCTTCCATCATGATTTTGGAAGCCATTGATGATTGAGTATAATCTTGATGACATAGAATTTTGATCCAGATCTGATAGTGGTCGCTCGTTTTGGAAGTCTTCAATGAAGAATTTAACGTGCTAAAGTATAAGATCATCGAATCCTAGATCTACATTAGGGCTGTACCCCGGTAGCAAACCCGCTCGTGCTCGCAAGCCCCTAGTTCAAATTCAAGTCACAAGCCTCAAATCACTAGGTCAAATCATCAAATCAAATCACCAGCATGATAAGTTGAGTCTAGCGCAAACTGTAACCTCCTTGGTCTTGTCTAAACTTCAAGTCCACAGCAATTAGCAATCCGCGAAGCCACTCGTGTCAGGCCCCCTCATCATCCCCACCCTGCTTGCAATCCGCGAAGCCACTTACGTCAGAAAAAGAGAGAGGGGAGAGTGAGAGATCTCGCCCACAGAGTCACTGCGCGGCGTGGCGCTGTAGTTTACTCGATTAATCGAAGGCCTGCGCAAGCCTCAAGTCCCATCTGCAGCCACAAGCCCCACAATTCACACAGTACTGATTTGCGCTAGGCCTAGAGATTTGCCCTAGGACAAGCTCGAGACCTGACCTGCTGACTTGTATTGTCTCGATACGCCGAGCGAGCGGCACGCCGCGGTATCGCTCGATGGCGTAGGACCGCTCGATGGCGACAAGACAGCTCGATGTGTTCAAACAGCAGTACTGCTCGCTGTGTGAACTTTGAACCGTGGAGGAAGGGAGAGGCTGGGCTTGTTTTGGTGCAAGGCGTAGAGAGCTGAAGTTATTTTTAACTTCCCGCCGTTAATCAGCTAAGCGAATGGATTTATAAGTGAGAAGGAACGTGGTATTGTAGTAACAGAGACCTAGGTTTCTGGTAGTAATAATAATAAGTTGACTTAGATTACCCTAAAATGGAGAACTCCAGGGGTCGTTGTCATTGGCTTTTGTATCGTATGTATGTAACCTATTTTGTAGATGTGTTACACTCACAGTGACATAATACAGAACATTTAGGAGACGGGCTAGGCCTACTTCAACCCAATGTCAGGGCCAACCTGAGCTGAGAGGGAACAACGCCCCAGCAGAAAGACGGAGGTTCTCAGTAAAAATTTCTCCCCATACGGGAATCAAACTGAGGTCTTTTGCGTGCGGCGATGAAGCGCTTGGCTCGTGCACATTAAAAATAAACAGGCCTTAACATCGTAAGAATAGCCGATCCAATATTAATTTTTAAGTGCATTGAATAGAGCTTTTTGTTTTTTACAACCGAACTATGAAAAAAACAACAACCGATCTTGCACTTTTGGTGCAAGCCTCTCAATGCAAATAACAAGAGAATCTTCTGTAAGATGTACTGAGCCCACTGCCACGAGAGTTCGCGACGTCACGACACAGTACAGCAGGACTGTCCACGAGTCACAACTCACCGGAAGTTCCCTCCGGTAGCAAGCGGGAGGCAATTTATCAAATCACAAGCCTGCTCGCAAGCCACTAGCGCAAGACGTCCGCTGCTTTGCAAGACTTCGATTAACCGAGCAGAATCCAGCCTAATCTACATCAAACCTAATAATTGCAAAGCATCAAATTATGGTCAAAATCAGGGGGGGGGGGGGGGGCATGTACCCCTGAAACCCCCCCCCCCCCCTCCATGGTTTTGTTAGGTCAGGAGGGCTCCCCTGAAAATCTCCCACCCCCCCCCCCCCCTTTTGTTTTTTTAAAAAAAAAGGGAAATTTTACATCCCCCTTTTTGGGGGGTTTGCCCCAAATTTTTAATTTCAAACCCAAAAAAAAAACCCCC